TGAACAAAATGAACTGTTGTAAGTCATGGACTTCCCATATATACGGTTTCTCTCCTGTGAAGAGGACATCCCTTGACATGAAGGCATTTGATGAATGTACAGTAGGCTATAAATTTAGCTCTTAAGACGGTCTGAAGGAAGGATAGCGAAGATCTGAATCAGTCATTTCGCAATCTGCTCCTGGATTCATTCATTCATTCATTCATTCATTCTGTCTCTCTCTCTGTCTCTCTCTGTCTCTCTGTCTCTCTCTCTCTCTCTCTCTCTCTCTCTCTCTCTCTTTCTTTCTTTCTTTCTTTCTTTCTTTCTCCCTCTCTCTTGATACAGAACAAGGCACCCTAAGAAATGTAGATGTTCCTATTATGGATTATTTATCCGTTTGGTTTTTTTTAAATTTTGGTTCTGGTTTTCTGTTCTCCGCTTTCAAATCCTTTATGGTCCTAGCCAACTTTTTCATTTCTAATTAGGGAGTGTTAGGAGAGTTTATTTCAAAATATACATTAGGAAAGAGACAGCTGAAGCTTCCAAAAATCGTGGAAACTAATGCGTTGCTCTGCGTTAAATTCCACTTACCCTGGCTTTTCTCTCACGAAAAAGCCTCTCGTAGTACTTGAAGTATTTGAGTAGAACTTCCATGTGCCAAAGCAGTAATATTTAGAAAATAGAATTGAAGATAAAATAAGACAAATAAATTGTTGCCTGTTTATAAATTTATCGAGGGAATTTTCTGTTGGAAGGAATGCAAAATAATAGACGTGTAATTCAAATATTGTATTCTGTAATTAAAGATTCAACATACAAACGGATCTGAACAAGTTCCTGAGAAACAAAGAAGCCATTGTGATGTCACCCAGAGGCTGAGGAAAGCCTCCGTAAATGTAAAACAGGCAAGCAATGTAACTTTTTTAAGAACTGTGGCATAATTTGAAAATTGCAGAGGAAGTGCAGATGTTATGACTGACTCTTAATTTAGGCCACATGTCTTTATCTTCCAATCTTCCTGCTAGTTGGTTCGCCCTGTTCTCTGGAAAGCCCTTAAAAAGGATTCTGTCTTAATTGTTTGTTTTTTAATTCATCCCATTTCCACCCAGCCCATCTCACCTGATTCTGTGCAGTTTACAATACAACAAATGCCATAATATAAAACATAAATAAGATCAAAAACAGAATTAGAAAGGGGAAGATGAAATTATTTTTAAAAGTTTTAAAAAGTTAAAAAGGCAGAGAAAAACACTGGCAATCCTCTCCAGGGGTGCATAATCCCCTTCTAAATGTACATCTCTTTCCACTTTAGATTTTTAACCACTATACTTTGTAAATGTTATTTTTAACGTCCCTTCTGTTGCTAATCTTGAACTATGCATGTTTACATAGTTAAAATTACCCGCTCCTCTGTAATTACGGTAGGAGACAACAGCTGGCTGTTTTAAGAAGCCATGAAGTTTCCAGAGCCATACGCTTGGGACATGGGAATTATTTATTTATTTTATTTATTACTAAAATTTATATTGCCGCCTATTCGCCTATGGCGACTTACAGAATATAAAAACCACATCTAAAAACAGTAAAACTAATAAATCAAATAAATTGATGTAATAAAATCACCTCCCACCCCAGCAACAGCCGATCACACGAGCCATTTAATGGGCTCGCTCCATCCCGCTCTGGGTTCCCCAGGCTTGCTGGTGGAACCAGGTCTTCAGCGCCTTCTGGAAGAGTGTCAGAGTGGGGGCCAGTCTAATCTCTGGGGGGAAGATGTTCCAGAGAGAGGGAGTCACCACGCAGAAGGCCCTTCTTCTGGGTCCCACCAGGTGTATCTCCCTCGAGGATGGGACCCTCAGCATTCCTCCCCCCCCCCGCTCTGATGGGTCGGGTAGATGTGAACGGCAAGAAACGGTCCCTCTCTTTTATGAAGGAAACTCAAGCAGAATTCAATGGGATTAATAATTGTGAATGCAAATTTGGGTATCTTGTGTATTAAACTTTTTTGTGTGTGGAAATAGAGTGCAGAAAACAGTCTCCAGCTTTTTAATGCTTTCCAATACTTCTTTAGAAATCTTACCTGCAACTTCTTTCAGGTTTCTTTTTTACATGCATGGAGATTTTATTAAGAAAACAAGATCATAATTACTTTGGAGTTGCCTGAGTTCAAAGCTTGGAATTATCTTACGTGAGGCTTTTAGCTTTATAGCTCTCCTTTTTGGACACTAAAGAAAGTCCTCCACTAAATTTTATTTTTATTTGTTTGTTTGTTTGCATCCTGCCTTACTTTTACAAATAATTCAAGACAGTGAATATATTCAACACAACTTTTTCCTCCTCCTACAATAATCCCCATAACAATCCTGTGAGGCAGTGGTGGGATTCAAATTTTTTTACTATTGGTTCTGTGGGTGTGGCTTGATGGGCATGGCATCACTTGGTGGGTGTGGCTTGGTGAGCATGGCAGGAGAAGGATACTGTTAAATCTCCATTCCCTCCCCGCTCCAGGGGAAGGTTACTGCAAAATCCCCATTTCCTCCTGATCAGCTGGGACTTGGGAGGCAGATAATAGATGGGGGCGGGGCCAGTCACAGGTAGTATTTACCGGTTCTCTGAACTACTCAAAATTTCCGCTACTGGTTCTCCAGAACTGGTCAGAATCTGCTGAATTACCACCTCTGCGGTGAGGTGAGTTGGGCTGAGTGACTGGCTCAAAGACACCCACCTGGCTTTCACGGCTAAGACGGGACTAGAACTCACAATCTCCTACTTTCTATTCTGGTATCTCTTTAATTGGGACCAGAATTTCCACTGCTAAGCAAAGCAGTTGTCTAAATGATTTGTGTTTGATTTTAAGAACTTTTTTGTCACAGTTGTCAAGTGCATCATGCAGTTATTAAGCCCATTGACTTTTCTTGTCAAAAGCTACTGGGAAGATCACAGATGGTGATCATAGAACCTTGGAATGGGGCAACAATGCTGGTTAGCAAGTGCCTCAAATTTTGATCATGCAACTATGGGGATGCTGCAACAGTTCTAATTGCAAGGATCACTTTTTTCAGGGCTCTTATAACTTCAGTCACTACACAAATGGCTGTAAGTCAAGGACTCCCTATATTTGTCAGTTGATGTTTCGTTTTGTTTTAAAGCCATTAGTTAGAACAAGGATGCCACAGGTTGGGTCTATGTAACCCAGGGTGATCTACAGCAGAGGTGGGTACCTACTGGTTCCTACCGGTTCAGGGGAACCAATAGTGGTAATTTGGCCTGGGTCGCAGAACTGGTAGCAACCTAGGCTGGCCACGCCCCCGAACCGGTTCCTTGGTTTCTGCTGCTGTTGCCGGCATGTTTTTTATTAATATTTCATGGTCTTTGCTCATAACAATT